ATTGTGCTGGCATCTGGCAAAGAGGCAATTTTATCTTGCATTTATTTATTCATAAATATTTCTTTCCAAAAGACTGAAGTGGCTTATAAAAATGCACGGCATGTACTAAGATACAATAAATTAAAAATGAGGGATGAGATCTGGGCAAAGTGCAGGTAGGTAGATGATGCAGAGGAGCCAGGAGCAAGGCTAGTTCACATGGCCTTTGTCTGGCTGCTACTTTGAGCTGTGCTAGAGATGATGGCTCCTTGGTGGCTGCACACTCCTCATCAGAGTCTGATTCTGATGGGAGCCCTGTGCATCTTTCTACCCTCCCATCCCTGCAGACAAGACATGACAGAAACAGGTGATACAGCAAAAGGGGAGATGTATGCAGTGTTTCCAACTCAAAATTAGAACAGTTTCCCCAAAATCTTTATTTAACTCATGTTCCTTCCCTCCTTGCCCAAATGTAGTGGGTCATTTATGTAAAGCTGCTAAAAAATTACAGGCATAAAAATGTTGTTCCTTACCTGATAATTCATTACAACCATACTCATGAGTCAATGGAGAGGGGCTGGGGTCATGGCTGGGAAACCAATAGATGTGGTTCAAATCCTAGTTTCATGGTTTTATTTCAACCACATCAATTCCTCTTTGCAAGCCTTTGTCTTCCGGGCCAAAAATAGAGACAATGACAATATATTTTGGGGTGAGGTGTTGTGAGAAGTAAATGGGGCAGTTGATGTAAAGCACCTAGAACAGTATCTAGCACACAGGGAGGGCTATCTCCCTGCCATTCTTCATTATCATGATCAAGATGTGTTCTTTCCAGCTCTCAGTGGACTTTTAAGAGGAGAAATGAGACCCTCATGTTACAGAACAGGCTACAGCATGGAGGTGCTTCTGTGTAGCCTCCTCATGTGAGGACACAGACCCAGAGACAGGAGATAGTGACTTCAGTTTACACAGTCCATCTGGGCAGAAACCAGGCTTGAATTCATGCTGGCGATGCAGTTTCCACTCTTCCTACTATCTCTACTTTCCGGGTTTGTCCTATTTAGCTGCCTCTCCCCTAGTGTGACACTTCTCCCTCCAAGGAAAATAGCTTCTCTCCCCCAGAGGAGACCTAAAAGTGTCTAGAATGAAGTGGGTCTCCTGACCCATGCCTCCCCAGCTTGGGATGTGAAACTTGACCGCTGCATCCCAGCTCCTGGGCCAAAGCGATGAGCCCTGGAGTAGGTTAGTGGAAACAAAACAAATTTGGAGCCAGAAGTCCTGGTGCCATTTCTTAACTGTGTGCCCTTGGGAAAGTTGATCTAACCACCCCATGCCTCAGTGATAAAATGGAGATCAATGGCATTTTTGAACGGCAGAACAACCTCGTGGCTGAAAAGTCATTTTTGTAACAATTAAGTGCATTGAGCCTTTCCTGCATACTAGGAACAGTGCATGGAAACAGTGCATCCGCGAAGTATATCTTTTACTTCTTACAGCACAGCACTGCTGTTCTTTGTTTTTTCTTTTTAAAAGATTTTATTTATTTATTCATGAGAGACATAGAAAGAAAGACAGAAACAAGAAGAGGAAGAAGCAGGCTCCCTGCAGGGAGCCTGATGTAGGACTCGATCCCAGGACCCCAGGATCATGACCGGAGCCAAAGGCAGACGCTCAACCACTGAGTCACTCAAGTGCCCCAGCACTGCTGTTCTTGCAGAGATATGGAGACTGAGTCTCTAGAGGTCAAGAACCTCACCCAAGTTCTCACAAATCAAAACGACATGAGTCCAAGTTTGAAATAAGCACTGTCTGTGTTCATTTTCTTTTTTTTAATAAATTAATTTTTATTGGTGTTCAATTTACCAACATACAGAATAACACCCAGTGCTCATCCCGCCAAGTGTCCCCCTCCGTGCCCGTCACCCATTCACCCCCACCCCCCGCCCTCCTCCCCTTCCACCACCCCTAGTTCATGTTCATTTTCTTAGCCACATGCTGTATGGTTGGGAGCCCAGCCTTATATTCAAAACAATTTTTTTTGTTTTCATTGAATTGAAATTAATGTACAATGTTGTGTTAGTTTCAGATGTACAATATAGTGATTCAACATTTCTATCCATGACTCAGTGCTTATCATGTTAAGTGTAGTTATTCTAGTTTACCCATCCCCCACCTACCTCCTCCCTCTGGTAACCACCAGTTTGTTCTCTGTATTTAAAAGTCTGGGTTTAAAAAAAAAATAAAAGTCTGGGTTTTTTTTTTTTTGTTTTGTTTTGTTTTGTGTCTCTTTTTTCTTTGGGTTTTTTTCATGTTTTATTTATTTTTTTAAAGATTTATTTATTTGAGAGAGAGAGAGTGTGTGTGCAGGGTAGATGGAGAGGAGAGACAAAGGAAGAGAAAGTGAGAGAGAATTTCAAGAGAGAAAGAATTCAAGCAGACTCCCCAATGAGCACGGAACCTAACATGGGGCTCTATCTCATGACTCTGAGATCATGACCTGAACTGAAAGCAAGAATCAGATGCTTAACCAACTGAGCCACTGAGGGTCCCCCTTCTTTGTATTTATTTTTTTTAAAGACTCGTTTATTTTAGAGAGAGATAGAATCATTTGTTTTATATCTTAAGTTCAAAATTTGGAATTTAGGAGTAAAATCACACGGTATTTGTGAAATCTTATGGTATTTGTCTTTCTCTGTCTGACTTACTTTACTTAGCATTATACTCTCTAGGTCCATCTACATTGCTAAAAATGGCAAAATCTTATTTTTTAAATGGCTGAATAATATTCCATGGTGTGTGGTTGTGTGTGTATATATATATAAAGACATGGTATGGTATATAGTCTTCTTTATCCATTCATCTATGGATGGACACTTGGATTGCTTCCATATCTTGGCTATTGTCAACAATGCTCCCAGAAACATAGAAGTGCATCTCTTTTTTTGAATCAGTGTTTTCTTTTTCTTTGGGTAAATACCCAATAGTGGAATTAGTGGATCGTATGGTAATTCTATTTTTAATTTTTTGAAGACTCTCCATACTGTTTCTCTACACAGTGATTGTAGGCTGATCATTGAGACTGTCATACCTCAGGGGCTTCTCTCTATATTAGGAAGCTGACACTTCTGAACAAAGCTGCCTTGAAAATGTCTCACAAGGACCTGAAAAACTCCATATATTTCGTACTGGGAGTAGGGTGGTCCCATGGTGATGATTTGTGTCTTAGTATTCTACTTTTGTTTGTGGATAGAAGTGTGCAAATAAGTGTAAACAGTTACTTGATCCCCAGCATTTCTGCTAAAATGTCACCTTTTCAATGAACCTTCTACCGGTCCTTTTTAATAACCCTTCTTTACTTTGGTTTTCTCAATTCTCCACACCTTGGGGTGTGTGTGTGTGTGTGTGTGTTTTAAAAGCACTTGTCATTATATATCATGATAGAAAAACATACTTGTTTGAAAAAATGTATTGCATGTGACTGGCTTTCTGCTAGAATGGCTGCTCTACAAGAGCAAAGATTTTTGTCTACATTGTACTGAGCAACCAGAAGAATGTGTGGCACATGGTAAGTTCTCAGTAGCTTCTTATTGAATAAATAAATGAATATAGTCTCTCTCTCTCTCCCTCTCTTTGTTTTCCCCTTTGGTCAGGATGATTTGTGTGAATTCCTTTTAGAACAGAGCAAATCATTGTTTTGGCTGAAGGTCAAGATTAGATTAGGCTGTTAGGGGGTGGAAAACCTTCTAAATATTCACATTGTCAGGAATTCAGCAGGGGAAAAACACCAGATGCTGACCTTTATTTCATCCATAGATCAGCTTTAGTCAAACATTGATCAAAGCTTCATTTTCTTATTTATCTGAAATCCTATGAGATCTTTCTTAAACTCAGTTCTTATTTCAAAGATGGAAGGAGGACAAAAATAACCACCTTTGAAGTCCACCTTCAGTATTCCCATTATCCCAAATCATCAGCATCCAAAGGTCCAGAGACAAGACTGTCCAAATTCTTGGCAAGGACTCTATCTGAATTAGAATTCTGAACTCAGTGTGATGCTTTTGTCCTTTAATGAGCTGTGCAGGCTAATTCTGGAGTGGCTCAATTCATGTATCTCATTGATTGATAATGATCTGGCATTGAAAAAAATGGGACAGGTCTTTTGGAATAAGAGGAGAATTTGGAAACCAGGCCATGCTGCTTGGCAGGAGCAGAGAGGAAGAAGTGACTTGGCAGCAACAGGTTGTAGAGGATCTAACAGAGCTTGTTCTTCATGGTTCACTGTGTTGCATCCAGCTCCATTGTGTTCACATGCATATCAGAAACAACCATAAAGAAAGATAGAGTTGATATTGGGACTCCAAGGGTGAGTAGACTTGGAGATTAAAAGATTCCAAAATGTACATGAACCTAGGAGCATGTTACTCTGTTATTGTCCAATTTAGAAAAAAAATCTAAGTGTGTGAGTCAGATCATGTGCTGGGAACAGTACATCTCTCATGTTCTTCACAACAGTACTGCGACTTTGGAGTTGAAATCCCTATTACTCCAACAAGGAGCCTGAGGTTCAGAAAGATGAATTAACTAGTCCAAGGTCTCAAGGGATTTGAACCTAGATCTGATTTCAAAGCCCATGTATTTAAAACTATACCACTAGGGTTTCTCCAACAGAGAGTTTTCTGGCTCCATAGTGAGGCTGATGAAGGTTTCCAATTTGGCACCTGTTAGAAGTTTGGAAATGTCTAAGAAACAGAGTCCTAGCTCCAGCTTTGTCTCTTTGCTACGAAATCACAAACTAGTCATTTCACCTCTTTGAACCGCCTATGCTTCTCTCAAAAATGGAATTAACAATATATGCTCTGAAGGATTTCCAAAGGATCAATTGATATAAAGTTTGTAAAAAATGTGAAGTGCTTGACACATCTAAAAGATGGTTATCATTGCTGAGAATGATCAAATCAATCACCTTAGTTTATCTTTAATGAGATTTTTATTTTTTGATTTCAGTGGATGACCTAGGATTCATGGAGAAGAATGGCACCATGGTGACAGAATTCATTCTTCTGGGGTTCCAGCTGCCGGCAGAGCTGCAGATGGGTCTCTTCCTTGTGTTTCTGGTCCTTTATTTCATTACCATGGTGGGCAACCTGGGCATGATCGTGTTGATTCAGAGAGACCCTCGTCTCCAAACCCCCATGTACTTCTTCCTCTGCCATCTTTCCTTCTTGGATATTTGCTATTCCTCTGTCATTGTCCCTCAGTTTCTTGAAACCTTGGGTACCGATAAGATGGCCATCACCTATGAGTGCTGTGCCACTCAGTTCTTCTTCTTTACCCTCTGTGCTAGTACTGAATGTTTCCTTTTGGCTGTGATGGCCTATGACCGCTATGTGGCGGTGTGTAACCCTCTCCTCTATGCCACCGCCATGACACCACAGACTTGCCTGGGGCTGGTGACTGGGGCATATGCTGGTGCCATGGTCAATGCTGTGATCCGCACTGGGTGTACCTTCTCTATCTCCTTCTGTAAATCCAACCACGTGGACTTCTTCTTTTGTGACCTCCCACCCCTGCTGAAGCTTGCCTGTAGTGACACCAAGTTACGGGAACGGGTCATTTACCTCTTAGCTTTCTTGGTCATTACAACCAGTATTTCAGTGATTCTTATATCCTACTTTTTCATCATTCAGGCTATTCTGAAGATTCGTACAGCAGGTGGCAAAGCCAAGACTTTCTCCACCTGTGCTTCTCACATGACTGCAGTAGCTCTTTTCTTTGGGACACTCATATTCATATACCTGAAAGGTAACATGGGCAAGTCCCTTGGGGAGGACAAGATTGTGTCAGTATTTTACACTGTGGTCATCCCTATGTTGAACCCAATGATCTATAGCTTGAGAAACAAGGAAGTGAAGGAGGCTCTGAAGAAAGCTTTCAATGGGATGAAGGTTTCCCAAGCAGACTAAGACTTGAGTTCCATCAGTTCAAAGTTCCAGCAAGTCACCTGTCAGGTTTGGCTTCTCTCCTTAACACATAAACCAGATTTCATAATTACAAAGGCATATTGAAGCAAAAAGAAATATAGCTTTGGATTCCAGCAATTTCTTTATTAGTTCTATGACCTTCAGTCAGAAATTCTCTGCCCCAGTTTTCACATCAGTAAGAATTTCTGCCTTTCTATGATTAAAGCCAGAATCAAGAGAGATGGAATGCCAAAGGGCTTTATAAATAATAACATGCTATAAAATGTAAAATTGACTTTCTTACTTGTCCTGAATATTGCTAAGTGTATTCTCAGCTACTTGAATTCAAAAAATTCAAGCTACTATGCTAACTTTTGCACTTGAATAAGTTCAAAACAATAACTTCTTGTTTACATAGTGAGGGCAATTACATTCTTTGGTTGTAGGTAGTGGGGTGGGAATTAGCCTTGACCAAAGAAACCTTTTATCAACATTCAGTTATATCCAATTTAGGTGTTTGTCAAAGAAAATACAAGTAGCTAAAAAGAGGAAAGGATAAATGGAGGGGAGAGAAAGGAGATGTAACCTGGGAAGTGTTCACCTAGAATACGTTCACCTAGAATATGGTAGCTTATTTCCCAAGAGAGCATGAAGGACCAAGACCCTGTAGAATAAAAGAAAGATGCAATGATTTGCATTAATTATTGGAAATAATTTGTTCTGATGAAGAGCTGAACTGAATTCCCTATATAATTTTGAAATATTTATTGATCACCAAAGGGCAGAAGTTCTAGTTTATTTCTGAAGAATTTTTTTCAAGGACCATCTCAAGCTGTTTTCTATTCTCCAATAATGAAAATCATTATCTACTTCCATCTCCTGTAGGACATTTACTTTATTGTCAGAAGACAGATGACCACGAATCTGACTGCCACCTTTTTTTTTTTAAGATTTTATTTATTTATTCATGAGAGAGGCAGAGAGAGAAGCAGGCTCCATGCGGGGAGCCTGATGTGGGACTCGATCCCGGGACTCCAGGACCACGCCCTGGGCTGAAGGCAGGCACTAAACCGCTGAGCCATCCAGGGATTCCTGACTGCCACCTTTTAATGATCTCCACATCTGCTAGAAATATTACTTGGAAGATGTCTCCATGGAGATGACACAATCTTTTTCATCAATCCAGCAAATGTTTACTGACTATCTACTATTTATTGGACATAATACTAGGTTCAGGATATAGAAATAAATAAGATAGACATGGCTTCTCCTTCACGGGGATTAGAATTTGGGGCATAGACAGATACAAACCATTGCTGTTAATTGATTTTTTTTTCATATGACTTTGGAAAGTGAGAAAAAAACAGCACAGGATATTGTTACACTGTATAGTAGGATTCTGACCTAGTTTGGTGTGGTAAGAAAAGACTTCCCTGAGGAACTAACATTTATACTGAAGCTTAAAGAGTAAGTATGTCATAGTCATGGGTTAGGGAGCTGAGGGAAGCCAGAGTGGCTGCAACATAAGGAGAGGGGTTGAGTGTTAGAGGCAGCCTGAGAATTCAGGAACAACTGGGTCACAGAGAGCCTTGTGGGCTCACTTAAGGACTTGTGGACTTTACTCCAAGAGGGAGGCATGAAATAATCAGATCTGAATTTGAAAAAGATCCTGTTGGCTGCAGTGTGATGGGTGGGAATGGTGGCTTGTGGCCTGTGGTGGTTGAGAGGGAGGGATGCATGCCCATTTCATCTAAGAAGCAACAGATGGGGGCAGCCTGGGTGGTTCAGCGGTTTAGCGCTGCCTTCAGCCCAGGGCCTGATCCTGGGGACCAGGGATCGAGTCCCATGTCAGGCTCCCTGCGTGGAGACTGCTTCTCCCTCTGCCTGTGTCTCTGCCTCTCTCTCTCTCTCTCTGTCTCTCATGAATAAATAAATAAATAAATCTTAAAAAAAGAAGAAGCAACAGATGGTACATCCAGGACATGGGTTGGTTTCCACACCAGACTGTGTGCTTCATTCTAAAATACGTATCAGGTCAGAGAAAGCTTGCAAGTGTATGGCCATGATGTTGGTATAGGACTGATTCTTAGCAAAATGGTGAAATTGGGGCAGTATATTTTTGGAGGCATTGCTTTTTCATTGGTATACCTTTCTTTCCCTGCATGTGACCTCCCTTAGGTATACATCATAATGGCTATCAACTTCACCCTCTCAAGAGGGCAACACATTTTCATTAACTCCTGCTGTATGCCAGATTGTGCCAGTAGGTTGAAGAAATCAAATAGCCCCTTGCAGGGCTTCTTACATGCTTAAAATCAGGAATAGCCTTCAACTTAAAAATACATAAATAGAGAAAAAGATAGCGAGTGTGCTATTTTGGTAGTGGTGGGAGCTGCCAACATTCTTCCCACCTTCTGCTTGGTGAGTTGCAACAAATAGTCCATAAATGAATGACTTTTGGTTCATGTACAGTATTTGATGTAAATACAGTTGCTTCAGGGATGCACCAAGTGGGTACAAATAAAATGATGTTTTAGTGGATAATTCTCTGATTAATGTGAGAAGGCACTGGAAGAAATGGCCATTTATGGCCAATTTCTGCTTGCATATATGAATAAATGAGTGAAAACATTTATTAAATTACCTAATGGATACAGGATTCTGTGCCAAGAGTTTTTACTTATCTCATAGATCTCATTCTTTTTATTTTTTATTTTTATTATTGAAATATAGGTGACATACAATGTTATATTATTTTCAGGTGTAATGACACAGTGATTTGACAATTCTGTACATTACTCAGTGCTCACTGTGATAAGTATAGCCACTTCCTATCACAGTACGACATTATTACAATATTATTGACTATATTCTCCATGTTGTACTTTTCATCTCTGTGACTTCTTTAATTTATAACTGGAAGTTTGTACCTCTTAATCACCTTTATCTGTATCACCCCCTACCCTTCTGATAACCACCAATTTGTTCTCTGTATTTGAATCTGTTTTTTGTTTTGTTTTTTAGATTCCACATATAAGTGAAGTCATGAGGCATTTGTCTTTCCCTGACTTATTTCACTTAACATAATGCCCTCTAAGTCCTCTCACGTTGTCACAAATGGCAAAATTTCATTTTTTTTAATGGCTGAATGGCTAAAACTCCATGGTGTATATATACCACTTTTTTATTCATTCATCTACCGATGGATGCTTGGATTCCTTTCATATCTTGGCTATTGTAAATAATTCTGCAATAAACATAGGGGTGCAAATATCTTTCCAAATTACTGTGTTCATTTTCTCTGGGTAAATACCCAGAAGTGGAATTATTAGATCATATGGTACTTCTATTTTTAATTTTTCAAGGAACCTCCATACTGTTTTCACAGTGGCTGCACCAATTTACATTTACGCCAACAGTGAATGAGGGTTCCTTTTTCTCCACATCCTTGTCAACACTTGTTATTTCTTGTCTTTTTGATCTAGCTATTCTGACTAGGATAGGTGTGAGGTGTGAGGTGATATCTGTGTCTTTGATTTGCATTTCCATAATGATGAGTGATGTGGAGCATATTTTCATGTGTTTGTTGACCATCTGTATGTCTTATTTGGAAAAATGTCTATTCAGGTCCTCTGCCCATTTTAATCAGATTATTTGTGTATGTGTGTTGAGTGCATAAGTTCTTTTTTTTTGAGTGCATAAATTCTTCATATATTTTGGATATTAATCTCTTATTGGATATATCATTTGCAAATATCTTCTCCCATTTAGTAGTTGCCTTTTTGTTTTGCTGATGGTTTCCGTGGCTGTGCAAAAGCTGTTTATTTTGGTGTAGTTCCAATAGGTTTTTTTTTGCTTTTGTTTCACTTGCTTGAGGAAACATATCTAAAAAATTTTTTCCATGGCTGATGTCAAGTAATTTACTGCCTATGTTTTTTTCTAGTCTCACGTTTGGTTTCATGTCTCACATTTAGGTTTTTAATCCATTTAATCCATTTAATTCATTTAACTCATTTTGTTCATGGTCTAAGAAAGTGGTCCAGTTTCATTCTTTTCACGAGGCTGGCCAGTTTTCCCAACACTATTTGTTTAAGAGATATCTTTTCTCCATTGTATATTCTTGCCTCCTTTATTATAGATTAACCATAAAGTGTAGTTTTACTTCTGGGTTTTTTATCTTTCCAATTAATTATGTATCTATTTTTGTGCCACCACCATACAGTTTTGACTACCACAACTTTGTAATATATCTTGAAATCTAGGTTTTTGATACCTCCAGCTTTGTTCTTTCTCAAGATTGCTTTGGCTATTTGGGGTCTTTTGAGGTTCAAATTTTAGTATTATTTGTTCTATTTCTGTGAGAAATGTTATTGGTATTTTGATAGGGGTTGCATTAAATCTGTAAATTGCTTTGAGTAGTGTGGACTTTTTAATAATATTAATTCTTCCAATACACAAACACGGCATATCTTTCCATTTGTTTGTATTGTCTTCAGTCTCTTTCACCAATGTCTTATAATTTTCAGAGCCTAGGTCTTTCGTCTTGGCCAAATTTATTCCTAGGTATTTTATTATATTTGTTGCAATTATAAATGGGATTGTTTTCTTAAACAAAAAGAGCATTCTTTATGCTCCTTCGTTATTAGTGTATAGAAACAACAGATATCTGTATATTAATTTTGTATTCTGCAACTTTATTGAACTTCTTTATTGGTTCTAATTTGTTTTTGTGTGTGTATGTGTATGTGTGGAATCTTTAGTTTTCTCTATACAGTATCATGTCATTCACAGATAGTTACCATGTTACTTCTGCTTGACCACTTTGGATGCCTTTTATTTCTTTTTCTTGTCTGGGCTAGGACTTCCAGTACTAAGCTGAATAAAAGTGGCCAGAATTGGGATGCCTGGGTGGCTTAGTGGCTGAGCATCTGCCTTTGGCTCAGGGTGTGATCCCGGAGTCCCGGGATCGAGTCCCACATCGGGCTTCCTGCGTGAAGCCTGCT